CACTGTGGATACTTTTTGCTCATTAATGTAAGTAGTGATTTTATCCGGTAAACAGTTCTTAAAATCTTCCAGTAACATTAAATTGTGCAAATCATCAAAACTGTCAACATTTTTAGATTGGCACCAACGATTGAACAATGCTTCTTTTTCATGTCCAAACTCAACATAAGTCTGATTGTCATTTTTCTTGAATCGGCGAAACTTTTGACGATATGCCTCGGGCACCAATTCATATGCCCGCAGCACAGCTGTTTTAACTGCTCCGTAATCCAAACTTCTCTCAAGTGACAGTGATGCGTAAGCTTCTTGAGCCTTGCCTGTAAACACACTCTGCAAAAGCAAAGGCCAGACGTTTTTAGGCCACTTTAATGTGTTTGCGACACGCTCAAACAAAATGAAATACTTATCAGCATCCTTATCATTAAAGGGAGGGACCAAATGAATGCATTTATTAACATCAAATTCGCCAGATTGAAATTAAGACGCACCGGGTGAGCATGAATGCTTCAACTCAAGCTCCTTTAAATGAAGCTGTCCTTCCACCTCTAGTCGTCACAAAGCCAATTCATTTTCAAGTTCTTTTTCCTTAATTGATAAACGACGCATTTCGATTTCCAACTCTTTAAGACGGAGCTGCTCCCCCGGATCTTGTTGTCCGGCAGCTGAGCTCATTGTCAACACAGTGGGGGCAGGAGGCAAAACCCCTTTGTCAGACAAAACAGTCCATAACTCGGATTTAATCACTTGCTTCTTTGCCTGTTTAGGCACAGTGATATCAAAATGACCGGCAACAACAATTAACTGCTCTTTTGTGCAAAGGTGTAATTTATCAAGGCTAGGATACGCCACAAAATCATCTAGATTAAACTCCATAGCCAGAATGCAGTGCACAAAAACCGATCGCAAAAATCTCGCCGAGTTAAAAAAAAGGACAAAGGACGGGCTGAAGAGAAAGAAAAAAAAACCTGGCACAGCACACATGAAAAAAAAAAAAACGGCACAGACCACCGCACGACCAAAGTGGCGTCCAAAACGTGTGCACAAAAATCACAAAAAGCACACAAAAAGTAGGCAATACAACCCGATGGCAAAACAATACAAAGTACCAAAGTAACAACCCACGGTGTCAAGCTACGCGTCAATTATCACCGGGAAAGAAAAAAGTTACAATGATACAATCCGCGGACACCAGTAACTGCACCAAAACAAAAACAGCACAGTTACACCGCGGAGGCAAAAAGCCAAAAAGCCACCAGCAGTTAACAACGCACTGCGTCTCAAAAGAAGCCTACAAACGTCAGCGCGAACAACGCGAACGGACGAGCCCCCAAATATGTTACGGCCTCCATACAAACACAGAAATCATGGCTCCACAGGGGCAGGAGGCTGCAACATATAAAAGAGGACGCCACACCAAAAGTAACAGCTTACCCACAAGCTTTATTTTTATAACCCAAGATATTACCCAAAACACAAACAACAACTAAGAGAGAAACAAAAGGGACTGGAGACCCCGGCCAAAAAGAACAGAAGGAGGGAAGACGCTCAGCCAACCACACAGTGGGCCGTCGCTCCCAGCGTCTCCCCCTAAACTACCTAAACAGGAACTAAACCTAGAATAAACAAAAAGACGAATAAAGTAACTACCGGTAATCTCCAGCCCAAACTAAAACAACAAATTAACACAACAAAACCCCAGCTCCTAAATGAGCATGGGGGGAAAACCTGCTTGGGGAAAGAAACAAAGGAGGAAAAGAGGAAAAACTCCTCACCACCTGTGCTGGTGTCTGTGCCGTGTGCCGAGCGCTGTCTCTACTCTCCCTGTCCCTCTTATCCCCTCCTCCTCTCTCTACCTGAGGGCCGATTGCACTCAGGTGCGCAGCAGGCAGAGGGAGGAGGGAGACAAGCCTGACAGGAGAGAGAGACAACACAGGCTGCTGCACGTAACACAGGTGAATAACAATCTTACTGAATCTACGTTTAGCTTTAGCTAGCAGTTTTAAATTTGACTCAGTGTCGCCCGCTCTGGCCCCAGGGATACATTTGACTATGGCCGCTGATGTTGCTAACTTCACATTCCTCAGAATAGAGCTGCCAATAACCAGAGTTTTATCCTCAGCGGGTGTGTCGCTGAGTGGGGAAAAGCGGTTGGAAACGTGAACAGGCTGGTGGTGAGCCGTGGGCTTCGGCTTGGAGCTGCGCCTCTCACGAACAGTTACCCAGCCTCCCGGCTGCACGGGAGTTGCCGGAGGACAGTTAGCAGAGGCTAAGGCTATGCTATGTGGCTCCGCACCGGCTACAGGGGGCTGGCTAACTACCGCAGCTACTGAATGGTTTTCCATGGTGTGGAGCCGCGCTTCTAATTCACTAAGCCTCGCCTCCAACGCAGCAAATAAGCTACACTTATTACAATTACCACTGTCGCTAAAGGAGGCAGAGGCATAACTGAACATTTGGCACACCGAGCAAGAAAGAGCAGAGGGAGAAGCCACTGCTAACTGTAAAGTTAATGTAGCTACCAAGGCTAGTAACGTACAAACAACAGCTAAGAGATTAGCGAGAAAGTCGTAGAAAGGAGGAGAGCTATAAGTGCTTAAACAGAACCACTGTGGGTTAAGACTTGAAGTAGACGTTAAAGCAACTGAAGTGAGAAAGCAGGCTAGTAGAATTCACCAGAGCAGTACAGAGAAGCTGTCACAGAAACACCGGAAATGACACAACTCGCTTACCGCAATACGTCAGCCTACATAAAAGCAAGTCTGTAGAAATGGGTTTTAAGAAGTGATTTAAAAGAAGTTACTGATTCTGCGAGCCTTATCTCCTCAGGCAGGTCATTCCAAAGTCGAGGGGCCCTGATGGCAAAAGCACGGTCACCTTCAGATTTAAGCCTCGACTTTGGAACAGCCAGAAGGGCCTCACCTGAGGATCTAAGGCTGCGGGCTGGCTCGTACGGGGTCAGCATATCTGTTATGTAGCTTGGAGCCAGAACCAGGCGTGCTTTAAAAGTGATCAGTAAAATCTTAAAATCAATTCTAAAATGAACAGGGAGCCAATGGAGGGAAGCCAGAATCGGGGTGATGTGATGTTGTCTGTTAAAACCAGTAAGAAACCTAGCTGCTGCGTTCTGAACTAGTTGGAGGCGAGAGAGGGATTTTTGGGTTATGCCGGAAAGGAGGGAGTTGCAGTAATTTAATCTGGAGAAAATGAAAGCGTGGATGATTTTTTCAAGGTCAGAATGGTAAAGCATTGGCTTAATTCTAGAAATGGTTCTAATTTGGAGGAAGCAGGACTGGACAACTTTTTTAATGTGTGGTTTGAAACTTAGATCTGAATCGAACAGTACTCCTAGATTTCTGACAGTGGGCTTCATGTAGGTGGATAGGGGACCAAGACTAATGGGGTTTTCTGGATTAGGTTACCGGGTCTCAGAGGAAGGTATATCTGTGTGTCGTCTGCATAGCAATGAAAAGAAACGTTGTGTTGTTGAATGATTTGGGCAAGTGGAAGCATATAGATGGAAAATAAAATTGGACCTAAAATCGAACCTTGCAGTACACCACTGATAATGTGGGCTATGGAAGAAGTGAAATTACCAATGGTGACCGAGAATGTTCTTTCTAAAAGGTAAGAATAACACCAATCAAGTGCAGTGTCCTTGCTGCCCACCCAGGTCTTAAGATGGTCAACTAAAATAGTGTGGTCTACTGTGTCAAAAGCTGCACTTAGATCTAAAAGAATTAAAATTGCGCTCCCCCCCCAGTTTCTGTGCTATGTAAAGCTCTAAAACCTGACTGAAATTTCTCAAAGATATATCGTTTTGACACATAAAAGCTAAAAGTTGGATTGAAACAACCTTTTCTAAAACTTTGCTTAAAAAGGAAGTTTAGAAATTGGTCTAAAATTATTAAAAACGGAGGGATCGAGGTTAGGTTTCTTTAAAAGAGGTTGCACAGCAGCATGTTTAAAAATAGAAGGAAAAAGCCCATTTTTGAGGGAACTGTTGATAATAAAATACTGGGGCCAACTATGTCAATAACTTCTTCGTTACCAAAAAATTTCGTGGGGATAGCATCAAGGCTGCACGTGGTGGGCTTCATATGGGCTATGATATAAGATAAAAATGACAGTGATATAGGTTTAAAATTGCTAAAATAACAATGAATGTCGAGGGCGGCATGGTGGTGTGGTGGTTAGCACTGTCGCCTCACAGCAAGAGGGTTGCCGGTTCGATCCCGGGCATGGGAGCCCTTCTGTGCGGAGTTTGCATGTTCTCCCCGTGTCAGCGTGGGTTCTCTCCGGGCGCTCCGGCTTCCTCCCACAGTCCAAAGACATGCAGATTGGGGATTAGGTTAATTGATGACTCTAAATTGTCCGTAGGTGTTGTTTGTCTCTATGTGTCAGCCTTGCGATAGTCTGGCGATCTGTCCAGGGTGTACCCTGCCTCACGCCCAATGTCAGCTGGGATCGGCTCCAGCCCCCCCGCGACCCTCAAGAGGATGAAGCGGTTAGAAGATGAATGAATGAATGAATGAACAATGAATGTCCCCACTGGTATGTAAAACATGGGCTGGGGGTGGGATTTGTTGCCTTATGTCCATGACTTTTTCACTAAAAAAATTTAAAAACTTCTCACACATTTCTTGTGATGCATCAATAAAATGACAAGGGGAGGGGGTGGTGACTGAGTCTATTATTTTAAATAAAATCCTGGGGTTAGAATGATTGGCTAAAATTAAACTCGAAAAAATGATGTTTTAGCTTCTTTAACTGCCTTTTGATAGTCTGTCATTGCATCTTTCCAGATCTCATAAAATACATGTAAACCTGTTTTTTTCCATTTGCATTCCTTTCTCCTACAGTCTCTCTTTAATTCTTTGGTGGATTTATTTAGCCAGGGTTGCGGTTCTCTATTTGACTTTTTATCCTTGTGTAGCAGAGAGAATCTGAGTCAGAGGCTGCAGACTGCAGCCTCTCCAAAAAGTAGGTAAACTCCTCCCCTTTCCTAACCCCCCTAAATTGGCAGAGCCTATTTAAGACACCTGTGGCATGAAGGCTGCCTTTCTCCTTGTCTGTGCCTGGTGGCTGCCAAATGGTCATGTCTCTGAGGTGGGTAATGTGGCCTGGAGGTCGTTTTAGCCTGTTTTACTTTGAGTAGTGACCTTTATTTTAACAGAGGCTACATTGTGTTTATGTTAAATAGTTTACTGCCTGTTTTGCACGGATGGCCTGGTCGTCTTGGTGTCCATTGAAATTGATTTGAGGTTTGTTAACTTTTTAAACAATGTTTAACTTCCACAAACCACAAAATGTGTTAACATTGTATTTGCTTCTTTTGTAGTGGTGAATTGTTCCAAACTGATTGGAGGACATCAGGGTAATTGTAGTACCTGCTCAGACACAATCAGCTGCTGTTTTGTTTTAGATGAGTGTTTTGTCTGTTTTGTTAGCTTTGGTTTTGTTAGGTCCTGTTTTGTTCCAGGTTGCTCATCTTTAGTTTACTTTAAGTTAGCCATTACTTTTGAATTATGACATTCTATTGAAATTGTTATTAAAATTTGCCCTTTAGCCTGAACCAACTGGTTCAGTTTTAGCCATTTCTTGGGTAACATTTTCTTTTTTTTTCCTTACAGTGCAGTGGTTGTTGGCTAGCGGTGGAGGCTAGGCACCCTGGGTGGTTCCCAGCACCTTTCTGTTGTAGTGATAAGGGCACTGGGACACGATAGTCTGCACCTGTTTGCCATGTGTTTTCTGTGAGTTCACGAGTGGTGGGTAAGTGCACTCCTGGGACACTTCCTTTGGTAGTTTGCCTCCCCCTTGCTAGCTTCCACTCACTCCCCCCTCCCCGTTTTGATAGTTTTAATCATCTACTCTGGAAGTGTTTTCATTAATTAAACAAAAAAAGAGTTATTGTTAAGAGAATAAATTGTAATAAATTTTCATACATCCTTCCGTAACTTTGACTTGCTTTCATTGCCCATTACTAATTCTTTCTTTTCCCTCTACAGACACTTCCAGTTTAATAGTATTATTTTTGCTTATAAAATTCTTAATAAATAAATCTTGATTTGCTTTTGAGCCACGTCTCTGTCTTGTAGTGCTTGAACCTGTGTTTGCCTTATTGCTTAGAACTGGGTAAAACTCCTTGGGTGAAAGTCCCTAGGTGGCGTTGTCTGGCTTGCAATTGGTGTCATTCCGTTACAGCCCCTTGATAATATAAAAGCACCACCCCCACGTTGCCACACTTGTAAGGGGCGACAGAGTCCAGGACAGACTGACAAGTGTGATTAAAAAGAGACCAGCTCCTCTGTATTAAAATGAGGCTTAAAAGCAGTTAAAAAGGCAGGAGTAAAAAGCTCAAAACTTGCTAGCAGACACAGAATTAAAAACACGGCGGCGGATGGGTGTACTGTCATTAAAAGGTACTTGGGTTAAAACCACATTGAATAAAACCGCTTTGTGATCAGACACACAAATATCCTTAATCTCAAAATTGTCGGAGCTGAGACTGCTGTATGTCAAGAATGTGATCCTTGGAGTGTGTGGGTTCTTGCATTGCCTGTGTGAGGTTAAGATTCCCGTGTCCATAAAATCAGTTACAGACGTCTGAGAAGGGCAGAAGATATGGATGTTAAAAATCACCTAAAATGAGAATTTTGTGATACTTTGACATGAAGTGGGATAGTAGCTTGGCAAACTCTTGGATAAAAAGATTGTTTGGTTTGGGCGGTCTGTAGATTATTAAAATGATTACAGGCTCTTTACGCCAGGGCCGCACTGCCAAAGTGCTGCAAAGCGCAGCGCACCGAAATCTCACATGAGCCCGTTCACATCAGACGCACATTTCTCCACGCCGGTCGACAAGCGCTTCTGCTCCCAGCTGTTGTCTCCGTCACATTTAGGGCTGTTTTTCCATCATGGGTATCTCTCTGTTTGCATGTGTGTGCCCCAACCCCCACCCCCTATAGCCGTCTCTCTATGTGTCTACATGTGCCGTGCGAAGGCGTAATGAGAGTTTACTCAATTCACCATGGCAGAAGAGAGTAGCAGCGTCAGACAGCCAAACTTCTCCCAGGAGGAAACTGATGTTTTGGTCCGGGAGGTCCAAGCTTGCAGTGTCCGAATATACAGAACTGCGAGCAGACCTCCACGGGCTGATGATGCAAAGGTAGCTTGGGAGGAGGTCACCACAATTGTAAATCAGTGTTGCGTTTCTCTCGTGCGCGCGCGCGCTCTTTCTCTCTCGCAGTCTCACTGTTTCTTTTCTTTTGACTTTTCTAAGATGACATATGCTGAATATATACTCCCTATCTGATGCTGTGGCTGTTTGTGGTTGGCTGAGAGGGATGTGAACTCATTAGTTTGCAGCTGTGTTAATCAAATCAGGTTGGGTTTCCATTACGCGTGCCAAACGGTGCCAATCCCCTTTGATCTGACATCAGATGTGACGGGACAGTCGATACAGAGATACATTTATGTGCTGATTGCAGATACTATTGAATAGTGGTTTTTGTGGGTATTTATTGCATCGTTAATGTGCCTGATATTCTGGAAACCTGCCTGTGAGGTTTTGGTGACGTGTTGAAGCTTTTAGCGCACCTTCGGCGAAGCCTTTTGGCACAAAACTGTCACTGTGCCAAGCTGGATCTGTCGACACCTCCCCCTGCTGCACCGCCACACTCATCTCAGCGCACCTCTGTCTGCCAAACTACCGAACTGAGCGCGCCTCGGGTTGCGCTGCTCGAAACTAGCTCTGCGCGGGGTTCGCCACCCTGCGCCATGCCGGGAAATAGAGCCCAAAGTGTTTAAAAGAAGTAAAATTATTAATTAAAATGGGAGTGCATTTAAACTTATTTCTGTAAATGACATCAACCCCCCATCCCCTGCCTGACAGTCGTGGTTGATGTAAGTGTGTAAAATCAGGGGCGGTTGCTTCAATAAGAGGACTGCAATCTCCCTCAGATAACCACGTCTCTGTGATTATAAAGAAGTCAAGGTTATTAAAAGTAATAAAATCATGACATAAAAAAGACTTGTTGTTAAGCGATCTGATATTTAAAAGACCAAAATTTACGGGTTTAGAATTAAGAGCAGGGGTTAAAAGAATTTGCCGAGGGACTTGTTTAAATTAAACTGATTAAATTGTTATGATTTACAGCAGCGATGCGTGATGATGAGCCACTTGCAGTGCATCTATGGTGGGAGATAATGGTCTGTTTGGGGAAGGTAATCGGTGAAGGTGGTAGTGACAGATAAAGCCTGTGGGGGGAGCTGGTAGGGGGAAAGGTACTGTGAGCTGTTCTTGTAGGAGGAGAAGAAGGCACCACCAGGCAGGGTGTGTGTGATGTAAATAGTCATACACGTGAGGCAGACTGGACAACATGCTGCATATTAGCCGCTAGCATTTGGCTACCCATATATACCCGTATGTGTATGATTGACTTTATTTCAAGCAAAACAAAAAAAAGAACAAAACATCAACAGACATGCTCAAAAAGGAAAATTGTCAAATTCTATCCCAAACTTAAAACCATTAATACAGATAAATAAAAAACAATTTCAGATATTAAATACAAAAACCCCATCTCACCTTTATTTACATCCTATTAACACCCAGAGCCAAGATAAATAAAGAAACCAACCCATCATAACCTGTCTTCTTCTGCCTACCTACTAAAAATGCTGTGTACATCTTTTAAAGTGCTCTATAGTTGTGTTTCCCTTTAACTCTTCTAACCCATTCTACAAATCCACCCCACACACTTAAGTACACATACTTTTCAAAGTTGTACCAACACAATGTTTTTTTTAGATCAATTTTCCTCTGAATTTATATCCCCTCTCCCTGTCACAAAACATTTTTTGAATATTGCCTGGAAGTATTTCATTTCCTGCTTCGTTCACTGTTTTAAATTTAACCAAGTCCCCAAATTTTAATGCATGTGACTTTAAAAACACTGTGTTAGGCGGTCACGTGGGACAAAGTCCGGTATGGCTGCGGAGTCGCGAGCTCCGCAGGGCTAGGCACAAAATATCTCCCTTTGATGACTCAAATAAGTTCATAGATAGCCGTATTCTCGACTGAGGTGTACATAAACACATTATAATCATGCCGGGTGACGAGATGGGACCACCGACGAGAGTAACGAGACAATCTGAGAAAGCTATGGCTTCAGCAGGTGAACCCCAGACATGGCTGCAGAGCTGGCTAGCGACAAAGCTATGCAAATGGGCATAGCGACCGACATCGGTGGTGTGAAAACAAGTCTCCTCGACTCCCTTCAGAACACAGTTCAACAACTCGGGGTGAGAATTACAGAGGCAGAGACACATATTTTGGCACTGGAAGATGAATGTAACTTAAGGGAGATGACGGTGAGCCAGGCCGTAAGTAACGTGAAACAGCTGCAAGAACGAATTACATATTTGGAGTATGCCGGGCGCCGCAATTCGGTGCGTGTGATTGGTGCTGCAGAAAGTGCTGAACATGGGAACATGGATGCTTTGGTGCATACACTGCTGAAAGAGGGACAGGGTTTAAACATTGATGAGGGCTTTGAAATAGAACGAGCGCATCGACGCGGTCCCAAACTGAACCTAGACGGATGCTATGACCGCCATATTCTGATTAAATTCCTGCGGTTCAGTGCCAGAAAAGCAGTGCTTAGCACAGCGAGGAAAAAGGGCAACGTGGAATGGCAGGGGCAGCGCATAACCTTTCGACAAGATATGTCTAAGGAAACAATACAAAAGCACAAGAAATATGATGACGTCAGGCACAAGCTTCAGAAAATTGAGAACGTCACCTACTACATGTTATATCCTGACACAATCAAGATCATAGTAAACAACAAAAGCCACATCTTCTCCGCAGCAGAAGCCCAGGCTTTTGTATCTAGCCTTCAGTAGGCTAAATGACGTGATCGCAGCAAGGAATACACGGAGGTCAACATCAACAGAGGACTCAGAGAATTGGTGGAGATCCTGACTGACAGTTGTGCTGGCAGAGAGCTAACACTGGAGTTTAAGTGCACATACTTGTATGGACAGTGGCACCTGTGTAAACCACCAATGGGAGGGAATGAGGAGCAACTCAGCCCAGAGACTTGACATTCAGTTTGCTGACATGGACAGTTTAATTCCACTTTCATTCGGAATGAAAAGCCATTCCGATTAAAAGTGGTCATGTAAACGGTCATTCCGATTGAAAAATGGTCATTCCGATTGAAAATTAAATCTGATTAAAGGGGGTGGTTTATTCCATTTGTCATTCCGAATGAAAGAATTTTGTGTGCATGTAAACGCTCATTCCTCTATAAAGGAGCAATAAGCGAAATTCATCATTTCTAGACTGAAGGAATTAAAAAATTGCTATGTGAAGAACTAGAGGTGTGATTTCATCTGGAGTATAGCATTCATGTGACCCCCCCCCCCCCCCCCCCCCACCTCAGAGCCCTTGGCCCTCCCTCCCTATAAAAGACTACAGCCAATGAGCAATGGCAGTGCGTATTGTCGAAGCGAAATGGCGGAGAACGGAATGAAACTTTCACTTGAAGACGACCAGGATCCGACATTACCTCTTAAGAAATAACGGTTGTTGCCGAAGAAGTTGTCGGATAAAGAAAGGGACAGAACTCGGACTAACATTGGCCTTGCATTTCCAAGGTGGAGAGCACTGCCAGAGCTAAGGGGGCTACAGTTTGACTCAGAGCTAGCTGTTCTTGTCCTGGACAGGTAGGCTACAACATAAAGTCAAATGTCTGTTTTAATTAGTGTGACAGTAACGTTAGGCACATGTTGCGATGTCGATTCAATTAAATTTAATGTTACAATCGTAGCATGGGTTAATGTCCGGAGCTAACATTTG